GATACTGCTTTATGTGAGTGTAAATTTCAGCAGAAATTCATCGCCACTGTTGGTGATCAAAATTATTGCAGCATTAAGTATACAGTGTCCGTGGGAATGGTATAACAGATAGCAGATTGATAATATTACAGCTGACTAGATTCAGTTCCCATAATCGACACAATACATGTGAATAATAATAGTATAAACTGAAACGATGAGTAAAATTAAAAGAGTAATCGCCTTCTCCACTGCACTACACTTGCACTAATAATGAGAACCACCCACATTTGTAGGCCCAGCAGTGATCCTACCAGACAATTGCACAATATTAATAAATTTGAGATATTTTTATATATTTAATCCATTGTACCAGAGAGTATATATACAGTAAATCCACTTGGAGATAACCTCTCAACTTACGATAATTCCTGTCCAAACATGTGTACAGTAAGACACATCTACATGATAACTTCTGTTCCTACAGAAGGTTCTGTTAGCATTTATAGGTGATTTCCATGTACTTATAGCATTCCTTTTGTCAAATAGTACTGTTCTTCACACGAAAATAGGCCACAGAGATATCCTGAGACGTGAAGTCTTCATTGAATGATACTATGCCGGAAGGTGCAGCCTCTACATATAGTAGATTATTTGTGTAGATGACATTACCCTCCAACTATCCAATCCTCCTCATTATAGCGATATTTTGACACAGTCCGCCTGAAACACTGATCATTGCAGCCAATATGCTAAGAGTGTGTCGCAGTCAGATTACATGACGCGGACACCACCATGACTAGTCAGCAAATGAGAATTCCTATCAATCTAGAAAACATAACGCAATTTTATTACAACTTATCGACAAAATAATTTACCATGAGGAATTTCAACCAACGCGATGGATAAGTTTGGCTCAAACTGTAGATTTCTATCGAAAAACACGTCTGCGAAAGCCGCTTCTCAAAGCTACTTCGTTGAGAAGAATCGTCATCTCACTTTGATAAGGTTATATAATGTGTGGTACACAGGCAGCGAATTCATATATTTAGCGTATCTGATGCGACATCAAGCCAAACAAGTAATTTTAGCTATACAAATTTTAAAAGATGTCCTTCAGATATAAAAATTATACCTATCAGTGCTGCTTGAATTCTTCATGTACCTTTGTAATCGGGTATGTGAATTCAGGAGAATAAAGAGTGCAGATGAGGATGTGATACCTTATTAAAATTTGAAAAATTCAATTAACTGACTAGTGAACAGAGAATATTCTTTCCGACGACTTTGTGGCTTTCCTCAGTCACATGTCCATTAGATAGGGAATAGGGTGTTTATTTTAAATATACCAGGTGCAATGTTACAGAATCTGAGTTACAACAAAACTTAGAATTTCTTAGTGTCTCTCGTCTTACAACATGTATTACGTTTTAGATCATGACAAGCAATAATTGTAAGGTACTTATGATTCATCTCATACATAGATGCCTTTCTAATTATTTTTTGAGTTGCAGAGTAGTCTGAATCCTGCTCGACTTTCCTCAAAGTCTTCGGGATCATTGAATAGCCCTATGTTGAACTGAACAAAGAATGAGTAAAACATGTAATGCTTAAGACCATGAACTTGCGTTTATTCCAAGGCTTGCCAGAGGTTTTGAACAGCACATATCGACCTGTTTCCTGAGTGTGAGCTTTGGATACATACCGAGATGATCTCTCTGCAAATATCTGGTAGAGGAGTGACGGTGGAAGAAAAGCGTTTGTATCTTAGGTTATTAATACTATAAAACAGTGGAGCATTTTACTAATTTGCAGATATCTGGTCTGTTAAGGATTAATGTGCTGCGAAAAGTGTTAAAATTACATTTATCAAAGACTTAATGGGGAAATAGCCATCAGCAAATCCTTTTCAGAATAGATACGCTCCTCTGAACAGATACAAAAAGGCTTAGTTTATGCTCTTGTTACAACATTATAACTATAGTACAAGTCACAAAAACAAGAAGCTCTACAGTCGTATACCAGCGAGTGAGCAGAAAAAACAGAGGACACACAAGACTTCAAATAAGCATTAAGAAGACCAAGGTGATAAAGAAAGCTAACCAATACCACCAAACACCAATCACTGACAACGGGAGAAGACCGAAGGAAGTCAGCTCTTTCACTTATTCAGACAGTATCGGTTCAACTACGGGTGGCATAAATCAGGATGCGGAAGGCAAGATCAGAAAAGCAAGACAGACATTCGTCAGTATGTAATCAGTGCAGAAATCTGATACAGTCAGCATAAAGAACGAGATTCGGATTTTCAACACTAATTTTCATCCATTTCTTTTACATGGGTCTGAGAATTCGCGCGCCACGAAACACATTTCCAGCAGCCTACTTCAGAATTTCATCAATAGCTGTCTTCGCTTCAGAATGAAGATCAGGTGGCTGGAAGGATAAGCAACAGACAACCTTAGTAGCAGACTCATCGTGAAACTAACATCCAACAAATATGGCTAGGAAAGTGAAGATGAATCGGACGCACACTGAAGAGACCACTGAGTGCAATCATTTGTGTTGCCCTCGAGTGAAACCCGAATGGGAGACGACTAGCTGGGAGTCCGAGAGTGACTTGAGGGTAAACATGTGAGGAGATAAAGGATTATAGGCAGTTGTGGATCCATTTGGAGACGACTACAGAGAATGGGACTAAGTGAGGATGTGCTGTTGAAGCCCTATGTTCGACTCGGAAGCCCAGGAAATTACAAAAGTATTAATTCAACGGTAACAATTCCTAACCTATTTAAATTCATTATGTGGTTTCTTGAAAATTTCGCATTGCACGACATTCTTTGTGGTGGATGGTTTAGTCAATCCTTAGATATTTGTATCGAAATACGATAGTATCATATCTGCAGCCACCACCAATAATGTCTTTTAATGCACAAGCCCTTCTGAGTTTTGGCGGCTAAATTCTGGCTAGCCACATGAAAATAATCTTTCAAATCTAAAAAATTGAAACCGAAATTATATACACTTCTTTATTTCCTCAATCGAATTATTGGACTTAAGGTCAACTGTTGTTTTAAACAATCGCTTGTCAGAGGTCATACCTTGTGGGGCTGATTACAGTGGTAGATATGGAGAACAGATTTAAAGAGTTGCAATGTGCCTATATTAGGTCATTGATTAGTCTGCGAACTTCATTATCTAAAGAAGTGTCTACCTCTGTTTCTAGTAAGATTTACTTGTGGTGATATCTAGTCCTTATAGGAATCAGAAGACAATTTCAACGAGCTCAAAATGGTTAGTAATGGAGTACTTTTTTGATTATCCTCTAGGTGTTGACAGAGAAATCCGTCGCTTGCAGGACGAGAACGAATCTTTAAAAAGGTAGACTCCTCAATACACTTATGTTCTTAGATCGTTAAAGCATATGGAGGATGTCATGAAAGGCAAAGAAATGGAGATATGCGGTTTGCGTAAGTCAAGTTTAAAAATACTAAGTCTCTTAGGTCGCCAAGTACAAAGCTTTTCTTCTGGGGGAGCTATGTGCACTGTATGCTCCCGAACAGCCAATGTCACAGCTGACTTGTTGGGTGCTGAGAGATGCAAAACAAAGTCCATCTTAAATCATAAACGTCCTCATTTGAATGTAAGCTGTTTTGTCCAAATTAGTTAATGTAGTACCTATTCCCGTTTATATGGCTATCTCCCTCTGTAAGTCTATACATATATGTGTGAGTCGGACAGAAGTTCTGTGCCACTCAAATACATCAATACGACTGCGGTAGTATTGAGTAGTGCAGATTTATAGTAACAGCCGACGGTAATGTGAATCCCGTTCACATCATTCCTTGTGCAGTGCCTGTTACACTCATATGACTAATTCTGTAGACCACCTGTGATAATCAGAAGTCGTTTCCATTATGAAACTAAGAAAAACAATGTTTCAGAAATCAGTAAAGTGAATATCAAAATTAAGATGTAAGACCACTGTACAAAATCGATGAAATTTTCTCCCCTTGAATAAGACTAAACGGAAATGCACAAAATGATTGTAATTATAATTAGTTGAAGTGGACGTCATGGATATAGGTAGAAGGGTAGCGGAGAAAACTGCAACTAATGCCCAACTCGTATGCTTCTACTAAAATTGCAATAATTTTGTCTGATAATCCTGACCCAACTTCTAAAAAACAGTTCTTAAAATGAACCTGCAGGCCTTGCTGCACTTAATTTTCAACTTAAATTGAGGTTGTTGGTTAAACATTCCTTCAATTTGCGGATAAACAGGTGACAATTGTATTGTTTCTAAGCTCGAGTTGAATTTTTCCTCTAAGCAGCTTGTTTATTTTACAATCTCTTCTCTTGCAAGGGGACTTTGATCCATGTTGCTAACCCTTGGTTTTCTAACTTTCTTAGTAACTGAATTGACTTTTTGATCTTACCTGAGCTGCATTTTTCATTTCTTTGGTTTTCCCTACTTACAATCTGCGTTTATAAGTTTTCAGCCTACAACTAACCTGCCCCATTACTTCATTGTCATCTAAGCTTACAGAAATACATTTTTGTATCTGCTGCTTCTCACGAAGATGCAGAAATAGGTCTTATTTAGCTATTTTTGCAAGACGAGAAACAGTAGATGGAGCAATGCCAGACTTCTCCAAGACCGATAACTGTTGTGTCTCACCACTGATCGTTTCTTCAAATCCAGTATTGATATTCATTTGATCAAAATAAGCCCATTCGAACTACTCATCTGTTTTTCTTTTGTGTGCACTTGGGTGAGAATAAACGATCGCAGTAACTAGTGCATGAGAACTGCCTACGTATGCCCTAGGAAAGTATGTAGTTGTTTTCATACTAGTTGTGATCTGGCAAGTTGCATATTTTGAAAATTATGGCTGAACTGTGCTCGTAAATTTTTCCTTGATATTTGAAAGACTTCAGCATCAGATGGTGCATCCGTTTCGACCTCGAGCAGCAGTATCAAGCAACCAATCAAGAAACGCCCATGTGTCCAAGACACTATGACGGAGAGTATCCTGGACAATCATGTCAACACAACACCTACTGGTAAGTACTTTACTCATACGCATTATTGTTTACTGTATCAGATATTCATTCAAACAGAAACTGCATTACGCTCTACATCACTGACTTTCGATAACTACCTCCTCGGCAGTTTTCTATGGTTTTCCAACTTTTGTCGCAGTTGGATAACAAGACTGAAGTAACTCGTCTGGTGAGAGCTTTCTAAACTAATTTAATGTGATCGCATGCAGGTGATTAGTTCCTGCAAGCCCCGATATTTGCTAAATAAACAAAGCCTACGACTTAACATTACAGAATGTCGTGGTGTTCAGTTTCATTTCTATCAGAACCAGCAGAATTAAGACCAGTTGACTCATCAGCGCGAATCCACGCACAAAATCGCACACTCTAGAAAAGTACACATGAAACTAAGGAAAAAATGTATTTCACCAAACTTTGTCAGGAAAGTTAGTGACTCGAGCTCTTTGACTTCATTGGAGGACTTTCCCTTCTTACCTAACACTACGCGTAGCCTCATTATGACTAACCTGCTTTGCGTTCAGAAAGAAGCAGTAATCAGTCTTTCTTGTGCGTCGGTGGCACAGTGGTTAGGACTCTCGCCGACCATGCACATGGTCCGGGGTTCGATCCCCTGCCGGCGCACACCCGATATCTATGGTCAGCCTGAATTTGGGCTACCGATATCCATGCTGAAAATTCCACACTTGTACTGAAAATACGGTGTGGAATCAGGCTGTAAATAAAAAAAATAAAAATAAAAAAAAATAACCATGGTGCTCCGCTCAAGATGATTGTGAACGTGGTCCTCTTGTTAATAACTGCTTGTCATTTCTTACCTCCCGCTTTCAGCGACATCTCAGCTAATGGATGACTGGATATCACGCTTACACCAGTATATATATATATATATATATATATATATATATATACACGACTTGGGCTATACTAAGAGGAAACTTAGACGGGGTTTTGATGGCGGGCAGTTGTAGTACAGCTGCTTATTAATTGTCTGTATTCTGTACGATGTTCCAGCTTTCTCATCTTACGTATTAGTTCTCCATCGTCCTCTAATCTCACTTAACTTCCCATAAATGAAGAAAGGAAATATTACCCACCCAACTTCCACTTGCGTTTCCATGCAGTTGGCATACCCCTATTGTTTGACGACTAATCATACTACCTTCCTGCTCAAGCCTCTCTGTGGGCTGCAGGATTCAAATTCGCGACTTAGTGGTTGCTAGTCGGGCGCCTAAAACAGTAAACAACAGCTTAACTGACTATAGGTATTTTAGTGCCCATTTCCCTAAATGAGCTTAGACGGTTAACAGGTATTACCTATTGCTGATGCCTACACTTTCCTCATCCACTAGTACCAGAAGTCGTTACGAAAACTATTCGTAAAGTTTCATTTGATAAGCTCTCGACGCTCTTCAACGTCAGGAGCCTACAGGAACCAGTCAGTCCGGACAAAGCTTCAGATACTTAGTGACATTCTCTAACTTTTGCCTACAGCTTACCAGCAGCCTTTAACATTCTCTGAAGTAATCTAGGTATGATATCCGGATTCCTAAGGCGCGTAAAAGTCTCTCAACTGCTTGTTTTCCGTGTCCGTTCATCCACCGACATATATGTACACGAATGAACAAATGATTGAGGTTCAAGTTTATGTTTTAGAATGAACGGCAATCCTCTTCACCTACAGATGGTTTACTTCTTACCGTCGTTAGCCTAATATGGGTGGTCGCCAGATAAAATACTGTCTCTGTGCGTGAAATTATTGCTGACCAGTGATAAGTAGTCATCTGAATAAATTTGAAAAAGACAGTCACCATTGTTTATTCCTCAGTACAAGCCGTAACAGATGCTCCAGTATACTTTATGAGGAGTTTCAAATTTCCTTCTTCAGTGTTTCGGCTTTGGCAACAAAGTAGGCAGCTTCTGATAAAACTCATCGTTCCCTTCCGAAACTGCTGTTAGTTCGTGGAAAGATGTCCATGGAAAGCACTATCTTATCAGTATAGATTCATTAAGCCAGACAACGTGCACACAGCTATCTAGTGGGATGCAGTCGAGTAGGGAGTTTTCAGCTTGCGATTGCAATACTATCACAGTAGCAGCATGTCTACGAGGACTAATTAGAGAATCAACTAATCCCCATAAGATATCATGAAGATTAAATTAGGTTGCAAATAGAAATCTTGTTCACTTATGTTGTTACTTCCTAGCTGCTGACACAGCAGGTTATATTGGTCAGATTTTCGCCCTTCGGCAGATTATGGAACATGGGCCATATTTCTTGACCCGAAGGCTGAATTTGATTCCGTCAGTCGAGCGGTATTATGACAGCGTTTGCCAGTGAAGGGATTGCGGAGGAAGTACATCATACTGACCAAAGTACTCTGCTCACACTCATGCAGATGTGTAAGGGTTCATGGAGAGTTTTCATCTGAAGTGAAGACAACCAGTGGTGCCCGTGACAGATGATCACTGTCGCCATTCCTATTCAAAATTCATCATAGATGTACTAACAAAGTCATGGTCGGATGCATTCACTCTTTGTGATTTATCACATCTTCCATATTACTCCTCTTTTCCCCTCACACTTCTCTTTGCTGTCTTCTCTTGCATTGTGTGCTACATGGAGTGTGGCAACTCGAACTGCTGCACATCTGTGCAAAGTTCTACGTTGAAGTCAGTGAGTATCTGTCATGGATATTACTTTAACCAACAGAGACAATCTAGGTTTGATCACAGGTAATATTATGATATCCATAAAATATCGTATCGATTTAGTCCCCTAAATTGACAAGATGGCGTTTTTCCATTTCTGAACTAAACAGGATTCTCATTGCCTTGAAACTTACTTTCAAACGAGATTTTAATGACCTGGGAATTTGTATTTCTTCTTGATTTTAAGTCGTTTGGAAAATGATTTTAGCACTTCATATGAACTGCTTTTACATAGTGGTTTGCAATGCGTATTTTCTTCTCAAGTTTGAGTTTGTTATTGTACATCGAAAGTGTATAGTTTTCCGATCAGAGGTAAAGACGATTTTTTCCTTGTAGGCACTCGCACATCCCCATCTGGGGAAGCTGATCAAAGTCAACATGATGAAACATCTAACACCGAATCAACAACACTAACGAATAGTGTGTTTCCCGTAGGCTCACTCAGTCCACCTTCAGAAATATACGATGCCTCCTTAGCGATTAAAAATGCCGTAAACCACAATGATTTGGCAGATTACGATGCTACATGTCGAGATTCTTCTATGCAAGACCAACCACATTTGCCAAAAAAGCTGAGTCCGTAAGTTTATATTGCACGAAGCATTTTTCTTTGGTTAAATAGGATGTCTGAATTGTAAAAGTTTGAGGTTTGAGAATCAAACAAGATATGGCTATTGCGATTACTAGTTTGTAAGGTAGTGCAGATGTATATATAGTTGTTCCCAACGGAGACTTCAGGAAATCTGCACTCATCGAGGACAATCTAGAATCTGTGTTCAGCGGACAATGTATGTAGACGAAAAAAACATTTAGTCATCAACACTTATACATTTAATCCTACCTTCTAACAACATGGATTGTAGTTGTATATCTTGATTTATTGCACCATACGGTTTTGAATGAATGTTGTTTGTTTGCCTGAATACGTGTATTTAATTGGGAGGTAATGATGTTTGGAAAGTGTTTGATTTAATTGTCGTTATGAAATTTCACATTGAAAGGAATAATTAAATTTCAGGGAATGCCAAAGGAAGAACGTGAAATTATATGAATACATTAATTGGCTATTTGGATGTAACCAATGTTATTTGTCTAATACTTTGTGTTGGTGCTGACTGAATTCTCTCAGTCGGGTTTGCAGTAAGGTCACCAAGCTGGGTGACCTGCAATTACCTTGCACTTCTAGTTGATATCAGTTGGCTTGTGTCGCTGAACTGTGTGCCTTTCTTGTGCGAGGTGTATTTTCTACCAAAATGTTATGTAAGGAAATTTTCGCGATAATTTCAAAAAAAACTTTTATTCGTGTTTCGCCTACTAGATTCGTCTCTGCGTGTAAGATTACGGTATTTTGGCTACACCATTGAAGCGAATTACAACAGTTTCCAACCTACACTCCTAAATCCATAAATCCCTATTCTCTGTGTAAATACGTTTGTGAAAATATTTCATATATATTTTACTCGGGTGTAGTTACATTTCATTGAAACAATTTTCCCAAAATTTCGAAAAAAATTTAAATCCTTTATTAAAATGGGTTCATGTTCGTTCCTAGGCACCAGCTTTTATACAAAAGACGAAGCAGGCGCATCGGCGCTGAGTCTGCCCCACATGAAATTATTAACAAGTTATCGGGAAGTGGTTTTAGGGCGAAACCCAAACACCGACCTTCCTGTCGTCACTTTCGCCCTACTGTTCGAACCAAGCCAAAGTGCGACGATACAGCTGACGACGTAAGTTCTCCATCTGGCTTTCTGGAGACAGAAGGATCTGAAAATCCTCTTCCTTCGACGTCTGTAACCAACGGTAAGTTTGTTTGGGAATGCAGATAACTTGATCTTTCAGTGAATTAACTTGGTATGTATACATATTTATTTTCCCAGTGGCGTATTTTAATAGCTGGGCTATTTCATTCACCTATTCCCCTTTATGAATTTGAGTGAAGCAAACAACGGTTTCAGCCGAATAAGATAATTTTGTTTCGTCCGTTTCTTGACAGCTGGATACAGCCTGAAAAATTATTAGGCATGTATGCAGAGGGGTTTTAACGTACTTGTGAAGGCAATATGATGTCAGTTTATAGAAGGCTGTAATCATAAATTGTACTCCAAGGCAGTTAGAAGACAAATGCATTATTCAAATTTATCAAAGGGACTAATTTTTTAAACTTATATATAACTTTAAAAAATCAGATGCTTCGTTCATTAACCTGCAAAGAAGATTCCTAATCATTCGTTAACGACTGGCTGCATATACTGTGAATGATAAATTTTAGTTAGTTGAAAGCCTGGGTC